GCTTGGAATTTGAGACCAGTCCAGAGAAAATAGCTAGAAGGACTCCCTTCTTAATGAATGAAGTGCCAGAGGTGGTGGTGAACAACTAATATCCTGGGTACACAGGAAGCCAAACATAGATGGGTCATACCTAGACCCATGCTTGGGCAGGAAGTGAGACTCTATCTCAGAGGAAAATCTAGCAAAACTCAGGGCTGGAGGTATGGCTCAAGGGTAACAGTGCTTGCCTAACAAGAGTGTGAACCCCAGCATCACAAAAGCAGCAGCTGCAACAACAAAAATCACTACTTCAAAAGGTTTTGTGGTTCTGTTTTCATATGCGGGCGTGAAGCGCTTCATCAAAGTGCTCTTAAAGTGCTTCATCAAAGTGCTCTTAAGTGCCCTTCACCATCAGCAGCTGCTAAGGGGCAGGTGGCAGTGACCGGTCCAAGGACAAAAGGTACTATAATACACAATACATTTTTTCTTGTTATACTACTGGGATTTGAACTCGGGGTCTTGTGCTTTCTGGGCAGAAATTTTACCACTGAGCCATGCCTCCAGCCCTTTCTTCACTGATTATTTTTAAGATAGGGTCCTAATCCCATTTGGGGCATGTGCCGAGACTCTGATCCACCTACCTCAGGCCTCCCACTGTAGATGACAGGTGTATACCACCATGCCCAGCGCCACACGTTGAACTGACCCTTTGATTTTTCTCATCCAAATTCCACAGCCTCCACCAAAAAAATCTGAGAATTGCTCATTCTTAAGAAGAGCAGAAGTGGGGGAGGGGGGAGGCTGGGAAGGGATGGGAAGGGTAAACAAAGGAGGGGGCTGCAATGCTTGGTAAGAAATGTACGCATTATCCTGCCCATGCAATTGTAACCCCTCTGTACAGTATGTTCACAAATAAAATAAAATTAAATTTAAAAAAAAAGAAAAGCAGAAGTGAGTTTGGGCCCTTTAAGATTCAGGTTTTGAGATGAATGTTTATTCATTATCATAGCTCTGTCTGAAGTTTTGCCAGAACCAAAGTACTACAAATTACCGTAAGACTCATGCTGTCAGGAATGAGGAGGAAGGACATCCTGGGTAGAAGATATTTCAGACAATACTCGTGGGGCATGGATGCCAGCTGTTGGGTTTTGTTGTTATTGTTGTTGTTATGGTTGTTTATCTCAAGTGCCTCTGCTGTAGATTCTGGGGTTTCTTCTCTGGGATTCCAACCTGCTCAACTTCCCACAGGACTTGGTTGCAGTCTCCAGGCTTGGCCTCATTCCCAGCCAACTGTGTGGGGCAGTGGAATTCACTCTGGGTCACACCCTCCTCCTCAGGTGATGCCCGGCCGGAACCCTGCCTGGGGCTCCTTCCAGCCTGGCAGGCAGCATCCACCCTTCATCCCTGTCTAGTGCTGTAGCATACAGCCTTAGTAGGGCTGCTGTTGCAGGCTCTGTGTTGGGCAGTAACAGAATGACCTTTGTCACCTACCCTTAGGGGTGACAAGAGGAGACTCCTAGTTCAGTCATTTCCACAGGCTTTCTGAGAACTCAGAATGCAAAGATATGGCCTCATGACACTCAGATACTTTATGTAATTCCCTATTCAAAAGTTATGCTGACTGCCCACGGTGGTAGGCAAGGTTGCAGCTCAAGCTTGAACCTTTGAAAATGTCCTCCTGCCTAGAGAGTTACCCTGCTCTGGACTGGACTCCGCACTGTCACTACCAAATTCCCTGTTTCCTTCAGGATAATTCAGTGTTCCCCTGGCTTTCCTTTCATTTGTCCATCCACTCCCTCACAAATAGTGCTCCCCTCCCTCTCTCCCTGTGTCAGTAAGTACATACACACACACACACACACACATATAGTAAGTACATATATATATATTATATATATGACACACATATATAGTACATACATATATGTATATACTATATATGTATATTGTATATACATATATATAATATATATACTTACTATATATATATATATATATATGCCTCTGCTGGCATGCTAGGGCCTCAAGGCCAACTCCTATCCTCTGTAGCTCCACCAGGGAACCAGGGCAGCTGGCACAGCTTAAGACTTTGTAGAAGTTGGCTCAGCAATGCCACGTGGTGCCTGCCGATGAGTCTGTGGCCAAGGACTGCACTGCACCCCCTCTTCCTGCCCCCTGCTCCTCCCCTCATAGTGCTCCACCTCACATCAAGGACAGGGGTGGCGCGGGGGACTGTGGGAGGGCCTCCATCTGCACAGAGCTACCTTCTGCTGCCTGCCCCTAGGGCTGGGCCACTCAGACACATCCAGGGTGCGTGTGGGATGCCAAGCTTGTCACAGAGAATCTGCCTGTTCCTTTTGCTCCGCTGGTGGAGGACATCATGGAAGACCTGAGAGAGGGTTCAAGCATCTGCCTGAAAAAGGGTTGATGGTGTGTGTATGTATGCTTCAGTTTGTGTATGTATCTGCATCTGTATTATGTATGTGTGTATGTGCTTGCATGTATGTCTGTGTGTATCTGTATGTTCCTATGGGGGGCTGTATTTGTGTTTCTTTGTGTGTATGTTCTTCAGGCTGTGACCAAGTATATCTGTGTGTCTCTGTATGAGTGTGTCTTCCTGGGACTGTGTCTGTGCATGTGCTTGTGTGTGTGCTTATGTGCATGTGTGTGTATGTTTCTCTGCATGTCTGTATCTGTGTGTATATGTCTGTTCATCTGACTATGTGTCCTAGTGTGTCTTATGTGTCTCTGTGAGAGGTTGTCTGTCTGGGACTCTGTGTGTGTGTGTGTGTGTGTGTGTGTGTGTGCACTCCGTGCTTGGCAGGGCAGATCTTTGAGTTCATAACCAGAGCTAACTGAGGTCAAAACAGTGTGCAGAAGTTCTAGGAAAAAGCCGTGGTCAGCAGTTATGATTTGGGCCCATGCTATTTTTGAAGTTAAATAAAACGACAAGAGGAAACTCATCGCCACTTAATAACAGATCAGATGTAGATAAAGCGCAGGCCTGGGCTGCAGACCTGCCGCCCTAATGCAGTGGCCGAGAGTGTGGCTCTGCACCGAGGTCCTGCTTCCATGCAGCTGTGTAGGGACCCACGCCATCTTCGACCTGGCCCCTCCTGGCCCCGGACACGGGCATCTTATTCACATTCCCCATGGGGGCATGCAGGCCTTGAGACCTGCTCACTATTCACCTGACGACAGTGACAGAGCTGGAGCTCAGGCCTTGCCCCTCTGTTGCCCAACCATATTCAGGAGTGGCCCATAGCCACCAAGTTCTTGGTCTCTAAGAAAGTACTCTGAACCAGGCCTGAGCAGCCATTGGTTTTCCTAACTGCTGATTTTCCATGGTGAAAGAAGTTTCCTTCAGAAAGATCAATGGAATGAAATAAGAGAGAGGAAAGTTCTCTAAGCTATCTCAGGATATCACTGTAGCCCACTTCTTTAACCACTTCCTCCCTGAGTCAGGCCCTGGCTATTTATAGCTGGCTAAAATGTTGACAACATCAGAGAGTCATCCTGAGGTCCTCCTGTCCCCAAGCCTGCTCCTGGACAATGCTGGGCCCAGCAGCCCTTCCTCGCCACCCCAACTCCACCGTCTGCTCTGTGAAGAAAACCACAGCTAGTGGTTCTCAGAAAAGCCAGCCACCTTGGATGTTAGAAAAGCAAACCTATGGCACAGAACTCAACACTAGCACCAAATTGACATTGTGTTGTGTGTATTATGGCCACCCTCCCTGAACTCCAGGTTAAAGGTCAGTGGCTCAAGTTCAAGCACTGACTAGGTTCTTGACCTTGCATTGCTGCTGACTCTCACAAACAGCCTCAGTTAGGACTTTTTATAGATGTTGAAGATCTGAGAGCCACGGTCTGGCAATCCCAGCCTCTGGCACCCTGTTCAGCATGTCTTCTTGTAGACAAGCCTCAGCCAACACACTAAACATTTATTACCTAAATGGGGAAAGGACAGAAAATCACATCTCTACCTGTCTTTGTCTTGAGTCTTAATCCCAGCAGCTGAGCCTGATCTGAGCAGCTCAGACCAGGAGGTGATTCTAGGTACCAGGCCACGCCCGGTATGCTATGCTCTCCAAGCCCTTGACTGAGTCTCTGACTGCCCCATTGTACCTCTGGCCATAGCTTCCTCCTGGGATTTCATAACTGAAAAGGAGACAAACAGCACCGCCAGGCACTTTCCACAAGGATACTCCACAGTGTACATGAAATCCTCCCAGGAGCCTAGTGCTTGACCTCGGGGTATGACCCCGCCTCTGGCTCTTATTATTCCTGGAGCCTTGGGCCAAATATTTTCTTCTCTCTGCCTTGGCTCCTAATCCATGCAATTTTGAGGCTATGCCATCTGCCCTATAGGACAGCTTGGGGACTGGAACGGGCTCCTATCTATGGTACAGGGCTAAGATTGGTGCCTGGCATGGAGGAAGATCTCCATCCATGTGAGCTAACATGGATGTGAGCTAACTCACAGTAACTCACCTTAATAACTCCTCACAACTCCCTGGGGCTGACACCACTGTGCCTGGTTCCTGAGGATGTCCCTGGCATCATTGCTGTGGAGCTGGAAGCCCATCCTGGGCACAGAGCTTCTCCCCAACGTGGCCTTTGGCTGCCTCTGATGGCATGTGTCCTCAGACCAGGGCTGGGCGGGGGGAGGGGGCTCTCTGTGGACAAGGCCTGACTTGGGCTCCTCACTCCTGCCCTCCTTATTACATTAACTACCATGGTAAGCCTGGGCACCTGACCGTCCTGCCAGTGACCATGAGAGCAGACCTCGCTGGTGACTCCAGAATCCTGCCAGGCACCCTGTAACTACTGCCTTGGGAACATGGAATTAAATGAAAATAAAACAAGCCAAATATAATTAGGAAGTTGTATGCCAACGGTGTCCTTGGCCAGGGTCCTGGGGTCTCCATGTGTAGAGTCCTGCTGGTGTCCTGAGGTCTCAGGGCTGAGCGAAGGCAGAAAGTGGGGGACACCATCCACACTGAGCCTACTTTCCCTTCCAGGGAGGCTCCGCCCTCTCCCCGGCCGCCATCATCAGCCGTCAAAGGGCTCAACAGCAGGCAGAGGCCTTGGCCAAGGAGGTCGGCTGCCCCTCATCATCCAGCAAGGAAGTGGTGGCCTGTCTCCGCCAGAAGCCAGCCAACATCCTCAGCGACGCCCAGACCAAGGTGGGCCCTGGTGTACAATGGAGAAGGGACAGTGTCTAGCAAAACAGGGCCCAGGACAGACATGACCCACCCAAGCCAGGCAGTCAGGGGAGGACCAGTTGGAGCTGGGCTGCAAGTTCCCTACCCACCCCCCCCCCATCCCTGCTGGGCCGCAGGCCTTAGCAGACCACACGTGTGGGTACTGAGGGGTGACTAAGCTCTCTTCAACTCACTATCTTATCTGCAAATGGAATCAGAATGCCAACCTTGTAAAGTAGGAGGCTAAAAATGACATAACCCATGTCAGCCAGTGGTCAGATTACAGCTCGTGCACTGGACATGTGGTCATGGCTTCCCAGATGCGTAATGGATTTGGGCCATCCACTCTTTAGACTGCTATATAGCCCTCCCCCTTTTAGTCAGTTGTGGGATTTGACCTAGGGACCTGGGTGCTGTCCCTGAGAACCTGTCCCTGCTCAAGGCTAGTCCTCTAACAGCACCATTTCCAGTTTTCTGGAGGTTATTTGGAGATAAGAGTCTCATGGACTTGCCCACTTGGGTTGACTTGGAACCATGATCATCAGATCTCAGCCTCCTGAGTAGCTAGGATTACAGGTGTGAGCCATCAGCACCTGCAAAGACCTTGCACAGCCCAAGTCCCTGGCTCTCCTTATCGTTGGTGAAGAGGACACCAACAAAAATGACCATGGTCATTTCAGGTCACGGCTGGTCCTCTCAGCAAGGAGTCTGAACTCAGGAGCCTATGTGGATCTCAGCCTCATCTGTCCTAAATTCAGACTAATCTGAACGAAATTAAAGCTAGCTCATGGCACCTGGCAGGACCCCACGCCTGCTCTTCCTGGGAACCTGTTGTGACTTTAGCAGGGGTCAGGGCTCTGGGTGCCTTCCTGAGAACCAGCCATCCAGTCCCTGAGATTGCCACCTGGTGTTCTTTTATCTTTGCTTCCCAGAGGACCCCAGCTGGATAGCAGCACAGACTCATTGTAGCTAGGACTTCATCAAGCAAAACAAAAAATGTATTACTCCAGTACTGTGACAAAGGGAAAGAAAGAAAAAGCCTGGCAGTAACAGCATTCCTTTGTGCCATGCAGCTCCTGGCCGTGAGTGGTCCATTTCACTACTGGGGTCCAGTGGTTGATGGCCAGTACCTCCCTGAAGCACCAGCCAGAGCGCTGCAAAGGCCTGCACGGGCCAAGGTGGACCTGCTCATTGGGAGTTCTCAGGACGACGGGCTCATCAACAGGGCCAAGGCTGTGAAGGTAAGCATCATGCTCTGCAGACCAAGAGTCATGACCTTGCTTGCCTGTTCACAAAACCAACAGGTTAGTGCCTGTGTACAGAGGCTACAGAGTTTGAAGGTGATGACAGGGGAGTTGCAGGAAGTGAGCAACCACAGCTGCATTGAAGTACACTGGACAGTTATAAACGGGAGCTTGAGCCTGGGCCAGCTGAGCTTGCTTGGGACAAGCTGAGAGTTCTGAGCCAATGTAGCCTGATTTTGAACCAGAGAGGCAAATCCCTTCCATGCAGGATGCTGGTTCTGTGGAGAGCTGGGAGATGCAGGGGCAGGGAGATGAGAGGCACAGTGGAAACCTCAACATTTGTAATGCAGCAAGGACAACCCGACACCAGCCTTCCAAGCTGGCTTCCTTCTCAGAAAAGTAGCTATGGAGGACCTGGAAAAACGTGGCTCTCTGTGGTATGCTGGAGGCTGGGCAGGTAGGAGTGAGCTGTGAAGGTTGCTGCCAGCCCGAACACATCGTCACAGCTCTGCCTGAGGGCTGCAACCCATGCCAGGGTGGAGCAAGGCCTGGGAGAGGCAGAGCACATCTCTGCCCAGACTCCGCTCTGCTCTTGACCAGAGTTTTCTTTTTTTGGGGATGGGCAGGTCCAGTCGTGGGGCCTGAACTCGGGGCCTGGGCGCTGTCCCTCAGCTCTTCAGCTCAAGGCTAGCGCTCTACCACTTGAGACACAGCACCACTTCCAGCGCTTTTTTTCCTGTTTCTGTGGTGCTGAGGAATCGAACCCAGGGCCTCAGGCATGCAAGACAAGTGCTCTACCACTGAGCCACCTTCCCAGCTCCTTGACCAAAGTTTTCTAGGTGATCAAACTGGGGTGGGCATCACAGACATGAACCCAAGAGACAGGGCCCACTCTTGAGCAACCACCAACCTTGTACACACGGTATGTGTCACGGTCACCTCAACTGAATATAAAGCAGTGTCAAAAAACCACATGTGCACACACACAGGGTCCTGTGTTCCTTTCCATGATTCTGTTTCTCCTGGGTAATCTATCACACAGCAACAAAAGCACTCATTTTACATGAGATGTGTACAAGAGTGTTTATCACAGCATTGATTATTGTGGCCAAAAAAAAATTGGAAGCAAGTCAAATGTCCATTAGCAGGGAAATGGTTGAGTGAATTAGGGTATGCACAAATTATTTAATATTATGCAGCTGTTAAAAAGACAAAGCAGGTATCTGTGTGTCAGACTGAGGGGTGCTATAGGTGGAAAACAAAGCTGTAAATAAATGTGGAATTAAGGGAACACACATACTTACGAAAAATAACAGCAACCTGTAAATATGCCTATCTTAGGAGGCATGGAGGAGTGAGAAAGAATACTAAGAATTAATCTGAACTGTTGCTCTGCATGAATACATAATATAGTATATGCACTATAGTCTTTTCCTTGGGATGCCATATTTAACAAGGGAGAAGGTGTACAATCTTTGTGCAGAACAACTCAGTTGTGGCTGAAAACCCACCCAATTTCCTCCATGTTCAGATTCCCAGGAGCCTTGGGGGATCCTAGACAGGGCACATGGGACAGGAAGTCTGTTCTGGTAGTACTTCCCTTCTCCTCCCAGGTGGAATGGAAGTCCCACCCACCAGACAAGGAGGGTGGTCTGCTATTGGTAGAGAACCAGAGCATATTCTGGTTCGAATTTCTCAGTTGTAACGGTCCCATGGCACCTGACTGCCTTGGGCTTGCCTTATCCAAACACTACCTTCACGCTGCCTGGGGGCTTGTCCCCACTCTGACCAGAATTTCTGAGCTACTCCAATCAAAAGTGGGATCCCGAGGACAGTATTCCAGCCTCCTTGCTGCATTTCTTCCTCTTTGTGAACTGGTCCTGAGACCAGCAGGAGGTACACTGCCCAAATCAGGCCTGGCCCGAGAGGAAAGCCATGGAAACAAGCGCAGGGAGACCTCTGGGCCCGGCTAGGCCACTCACAATCTTGCTCCACCAGGACTACTCAGAATCTCCCTCTGACCCTGGGCCCTGGTGTGGGCATGCTTTTTACAGGTTATGCCATTCCTTTCTCCTGCCTACCCTCTTCTCAGGAGCACACCTTGGTACAGCACCAAGCAGTCTTTGACTCTGCCTCCTGCCTGAATCCATCTGGGCACTGCCTGGGGTGGAGGGCAACAATCCCATCCCTACCTCCGTAGAGGTCAGATCAGGCAGCCTCATCTAGACGTGGCAGGGGCCCAGGACTTCCTGCGGTTTCCAGAGCCCTTGCCCTGGGGCCCTTGTTGCTCCCTGGACTCGCTTCCTACTCTTTCCTCTGGGTCTCTTGTTTGATGGTAGCAACTGATCCCTTTGGTGTTGCTCAGATTCCATAATACATTCCTTCCTTAGGGGTATAGCAGGCACCATTCCCTCTTCTAGAATGTTCCCAGGTATTGCAAAGCCTCATTTCATTGAGAGTCATTATCACATCCTGAGTACAGTTCATCAGCCTGTCTACCTTAGCAAGGATCGGGCAGGTATGTCCAACAACAACCTGTCTGCTGCACCATTCAACACCAGAGTTACCCACTTTGAGCCAGACACAGGGCCGGGGGGTGTGGCAGCTAAATATCAATTGAATTTCTATCCCCAAGAAGGACACAGGCAGCCTCAGAAATACAGAACAAGGCAAACAGACCACTAGCTCTGTAGAGAGGACAGCTCATCCCTGAGCCTTGGTGGGAGTGAAGGGGTCACTGCCAGCTGACACATGGCCAAGAACTGACCAGGGCTTCTTCCTTGGCTGTCAGCAGAGCTGGGAAGAGAGTCCTGGTCCTGGTATTGAAATCAGGAGTTTCCCAGAGGTGAGCCTCAGTTTTCCTATCTGTTGGTTGGGAGATCACTGGTAAATATCCTCATAAAGATGGGCAGAGGGTAGAAATACAGTTCCAGTTCTTCAGAACAGCGGGGCCTCAATAAGTGCTAGCTTTTCTCAGCTTCTTTAATTTGAATAGAAACATAAATGCCCCCATTCTGAGAATTATCTCCATAGACACCAAGAGTATGGGAAAAATATAAAACTGTATAAACACCAAACTATGTCACCTGACCTGAATTAATTTTCCAAATCATAGCAGAAGTACCTACTTGCACACACACACATACACACACACACACACACACACACACACACAGACATTTCTTCCCCATGCCAACCTGAAGAAATACTAGGCGGAGCCCAGCCCACAAACACACACAGTCCTCCTTCCCCGGAAGTCCCATTGTCATGCCCCTGGGCCAGCCAACACATTAGCAGAGACCTGCCAAATTCCCTCCAACCAAAGACGGTGGTGGGTAGGGACTGTATCCAGTCAACATCAAGACCCCCCACCCCTGGACACCCCAGGCCAGTTCTAGCCCAGCCAAGGAGTCCGAATGACACTCAGTAATTTACAAACATACCTGCGGAGCCTGGGTGCTGCTGGGAGGTGGAAAGGCTCTGTGCACAGAGAATAGTCTTATTTCCCGAAGTAGCAGCTTTCTACTGAAATTCTTCATCAGTGTCTGTGATGAGGAATCCCCCCCACCAGCCTTTCCTTACTGGTGAAATTGACAGTCTGCCTACATTAACGGGCTTTCATTTGCATGATCAAAAGCAGATTTGCTCAGAGATACAACATTCTGAGTCCCCTCCGGGCACAACCATCTTCTCCAAGGAAGGCAAGATAATCAGAAGAGAAGCAGAGCGCCACACTGTGCCCTGGGCTTGGCCAGGACTCGGCCTCGCTGGGAGCAGGTGCAGGTGGGGGAGGGGGAGGGGTGGCGGGGAGGGGGGGATGCTATAGATGGGAGAGAGACTGTCTGAGAGTTGTAAAGCTGTGCCTGGCAACCAAGGCACTGGCTGGCAAGAGCCCCAGACTCAGGAATATCGAGTCCTTAGTGACAGATTACAGCAAGAGGCACTACAGGAATCCCAAGAGTGTAAGTGGATTTCTTGGAAAGAGGCAGTACAGCACTAAATCCTGGTGCTGGGGTTGGTGTGGAGCGGGGGAAGGGGGAGGTAGGTTAGGTGGGTGTTAGGTCTGGATCTAGGCACACCAGGATGTGGCATTGGAAAAGTGAGTGTCTGTCTATTCCTGGCTCCAGCGTGCTATTTAGGCAAGTTGTTTGCAAGTCGGAGCTGTAGCTATTTTAGCCTCTGAGTGGCAGAGTGCGCCCCTCGCCTGCCTCCTGCTTTGTTGTGAGAAGATGTCTAAGGAAAGAGAGCATTCCCTCCTCCCTCCAAGATCTCCTCTGCAGGACTCCTGGCACAAGGTGACCCGTCTCCCTGCACTGAGACCCAGCCCTCAGCGCCCCACGCCCCATGTTGCCTTGCCTCATGATCCCCCTCCAGCCTCCCCTTGGGCCTCGCACCCTGGGATTATTCTCCAGACAAAGCTGGGGGTTGGAAGGGCAAGGTAGCTCTTCCCTGCAATCCTACTTACTCAAGACAGAAAGATCTGCCCCAAGCCAACAGAGCCAAAGGTTAGTAAGACCCCATTTCAACCAATAAGCTGGCTGTAATGATACATGCTTGTCACTTCAGGTACACAGGAAGCATAAATAGGAGAACTTGCAGTCCAGACTAGCCTATGCCTAAGCCAAAAAGTAACTAAAGCAAAGGTTTGGGAATAGCCTGGTATTATAAGTGCCTCAGCACCTGTCACACAAGCAGGAGGTTCTGAGTTCAAACCCCGGCACCCTCAAGGAAAGATGGGGGCTGTGAGGTCCAGGGGGGTTGACTTATAATCCTCATCATTTCTATTTTATGATGGTATGGGTCTAATGGTGAATGCAAAGCTAGAATTACTATTCTCTCATCAATATATCATAGCATGTTTATCCTTCTGATTTTAGAAGAATCCGGCAGCAAGCCAAGCACAGTGGCTCAAGCCTTCAGTCTTAGTTACTTTGGAAGTCGAGATAGGGAATTGTGATTTGAGAGCAGCCCAGGAATGAAAGTGTGTGAGATTCCAT